GTCACCGGGTGAAAAAGCTTATGGAGTTAGAAGCGGCTCCATTATCCTCTCCCGAGGAACTCTGTAGTCTGATTGGAAGGGTGACTGCGGATGAGGTAGTGGATCTAGTTTTAACTCAGAAAAGAAAACGATGGTGATAACATTTTCTGATGCTGACCTGCCGCCCGACACAACAAAGCTCTGTATTTGAAGGTTGAAATCATGGACCGAATTATGTCATGTGTAATGGTTGACGATGGTTCAACTTTGAACATATGTCCGTTGAAGATTCTGCCCTATTTAAGTCTGACTGAAGATATGCTGCAAAAGTCTGCTACTGTCATCCGTGCTTATGACGACAGTAAGCGATCTGTTTTGAGAACCTTTGAAACAGATGTGGAGGTTCAAGTAATCAAATCCAAGGTCATGTTCACTGTCATTGACATCTCTGTGACTTTTTCACTGCCTCGATGTACTATAGAGGACCTAAAGCTAGAGGAAACTCCTAGTACAGGTTCAACTACGTTGCAAGGAGTCCCCCCAACTATTGAATGAATCTCAGAGTAAGTAGTAAGGTATCGAATAATGCCTTCTACCGAGAGAGAAGGAAAGTCATTGCTCAGAAGAACTTGAAGGAGTATGAAAAATACGTCTACAGACCCTCGCCCTTGACTTTATATACTAGAAATGCTTGATAATCCCACCTAGGCAAATGAAGAGTTCATGCTTCTTAACAGTAGCTGCCCATTCATTCCTCTTATGTCAGCTTCAAGCGAAGATAAGGGTGTGTTCTGAGGCAAAGTCGGATCGGATTTGATCCCTCGCTTCCTCTGGCTGTTCATCTGAATCATATAACAAGAAGTTGGGGTCAATTACATCTTTAGAAACGAAGTTCAGTCATAACCATAAAGGCTAGGGGTGGGACTAGAAATGGGATCTGTTGCCACAAGTAAAAGAAGGACCACTGGATCAGCAGAAACTGGATCCTTTGGTTCGTTCACCAGAGGCTGGATCCATCGGCTCGACGTCTGTTGTGTCGGCATATGCTTCAGTGGTTTATTCATATTCAGACTTGCCTTCAGACCCGGTCTCCGCTTGGGAAGGGTTTACCCCTTTTGTTGTCAGAGCTAACAGATTTCTGATTCAATCAAAGTGCAGCCCCCTTCAAGCTTAGTGAATTAACCGCTAACTGATGTGATTTACCATGAGGAAGGAGTTCGATTCTATAGTCTAATGGGATTACCATACTAAGCTTTGAGGTCAATTACACCTTCCCTCAGATTGATGTCGAGACTCACTTCGTTCTCCTTTTTATTTATTACTGCGAAGCGTCTTAAAGAAGGGCAGGCACTTCTTCCTCTTCCGGTCCATCAAGTTGACGTGAACCGGGCCCAGATTGACATGTTAACCACTGAGAAGGTTAGTTACTCCCGTTGCAGGGTTAACTATCATGCTTTGAGGTTTAACAATCCCATTTTTGAGATGGGAAAGAAATTAGTCAAGCGGATGAGAATGAAGAGTGGATTGTCCCCTTCATTGAAGTTAATACGTGTCAGATACGCTGCCACTTGATTATGTTCAATTACGGGGCCCTCGAGCTTCTCCATTTACCCTTCGATGACTCGGTTAGGAGTAATCTCACGGCTGCGGGCGAAATGGGTGATTAACAACACCCCTTCATCCCTTGTCCCCGAGCATGCCTCTTTCGGAAGGTCCGTTCACTCCGGTCCGGTATTCTTAATACACTCAGTTCGACGTCCTACACTCGTGGACCCCTCTGCTTGATACACTCTTTCCCTCATGAGAGGTTCAAGAGCTACCTTTCAGAGGGTTCAAGCAGGCCTCCTCTAGTCCCAGTGGGTTTACAATATATCCATCTATCTTGAAATTTAAGATTTTTACACACAGTAGCTACAAATTTTTCTTTTTTCTTGGTCTCTGAGAGAAAAATAATATCAGGGAGGTGAGCCCTAATGGCTTCTTATAATTGGAAAATTGTAGAGGGTCCTCCCAAACCTCTACAATTCCACACACATACTTTCATTTAGACTTTTGGGACCACTTAGGGTTGGTCCCATCCACCACAGGAGACTCCAAAGGTTCAGACACTTTCAATTTTTTGGAAACATTAGCCTTACTACTATTATCATTGTCCAGCAGACAGCTCACATCAAAATATCTTTTACGAAAATTCAAAACAGATCCTGATTCTAAGGCTACTAATTTCCCCTTATCAACCTCCATGGCTGACAGAGTAGATGCAGTACCTGATTTATTGACTCGAGGCCAAACCTTCCTCCTTTTCAGAGGGGCTCTACTCCCAGCTTGGAGAGGTTGAATAGCTACCTCAACAAGTTCTTGGTCAGACCCCTCTTCAATGGGAAAGGGGGGACTACTGGGATCAAGGGTTCCTTTATTAGTAGGGATACTAGTTTCCTTGGTACTATTCCCAAGGACCTCAGTAAGCCCACCAACATTAGAGCCACTTTCTTGATCACCAAGAGGAGGAGTAGAAACAGGAGAATTGTTGTATTTCCCCAAACTCCTCTCTCCTACACTGAGTTCCCTGCTAGCTAATTTCAAAGAATCATCAGCACTAAGACCTTCAGACCCAGAAAATCTACTACTATTAGCCCCAAGAAAAGACACAGATCCCACCCTAAGCCACTCCCCAAATTGACCCAAGCTAAGCATATTTCTAGCAAAATCTCCTTTTTTGGAAGAACAATTTTTATCAACATGACCTATCAAACCACAGTAAAAGGAAAAAGCTTGGAGGTTTTCATACCTGAAGTCAACCCACCTTTTGTTTGAGCCAAGGGTAATTAGAGTTCCTCTGGGAATGGCTTCTCTTAAATTCATCTCCACTTGCACTTTCATAATATGTTCGTTCATGCTTTCTACACCCGGAACAAGGACATCAATCACTTTTCCTATTACTTGGCCAATTTTGGTTCCCAACTCTATTGTAAGCCAGTGCAAAGGTAGATTATGAAGTTGAACCCAAATTCTAATTTTTTCTTCCGCTGATGAAAACTCCAAAGCTCCAGTATTCCAGTCCTTCAGTAAGATGTATTGCCCATCAAAAGTCCATGTTTTCCCTTGCAAGATCTGTTCCTTGTCTTCCGCTAACTGGAAAGTAGATTGGTACAAATTAAATCCAATATTCTTGATGAAGAACTGCTCCTTTGTAAACCAGATGTTGTGCAATGTAGTTTTCAATCCATTGATGTTGGCCTTCTTCTCACCATAGATTTTACCAATTAGACTAAGTTGACACTCCTGAAAACCATGGGCGACATCCTCTTCAGCAATTGAAAGCCCATTCTTTTCCTTATCAGAGAGTTTAAATTTTCTCAGTTTCTCCGACAGATCTTCTGCCATCAGAATGACGGGAAGGAACCCTCCTCGCTATTGACAAAGATGTTAAGCTACTAAATAAATAAAGCACAGAGAAACAAACAGACCAAGCGAACACAATGAAGCATAACACAAGATATCAGAAAGAGAGAAAATTAAGCAACGTCAATAAAGAAATAAGGATAAATAATGCATTACCAACCTATTCCAGCAATTAAAGAGGGCTAAATCAAGCATACAAACCCTAATCACGAAAACTGAAACAAGGCCACAAAAGAGCAGGAAACCCTAGCTACAAGCAAATAACCCTAAAAAAGCAGACTAAAGAAAGCAGGGGACAACCAAGCTAAAGAACACGAAGAAAGAGAGCAAGAAGGCTAACACGAGAAGGGGAAGAAATCCTTAGATTAACCTCCAAAACCTGGAACTAAGACTCTAGAGAGAGAAATATCTCACATAAGGAGAACTTATTTCCAATAGTTCTTGTTCTGCTGATTAGAGAGACTTATTTTCAATAAAATTGAGTGAGTGGATGATTTTGAGTTTATAATTAAATAATATTCAAAATAAAATGGTTAAAGTTGATATGATTTAAAAGCAAGAAATATTGTTATTGAAATTAATAAGTAGCTATAATTATGTGTGTTGATGAATAGTATTTTAATCTTGATGTATGTGTGAGAATTGTTTGTCCCATTTTTGTTGTATTTTTCGCGGTTGTTTTGATTTTTTTCCCCCGTTTTAGGTCGTTTCTTTTGTTTTTAGTCCGTTTCGTGTTATATTATGTGTTTTCGTTCATTTTATCTATAAGTGTTTTTCGTTTGTTTTTTCGATTTTTTTTTTTTTTNNTTTTTTTTTTTTTTGTGTTTTGTCGTCTTTTGTGGAGGTTGGGAGTTTGGGGAGAATTTTCTCTTCAGGTTAAATTTGTTTCGAAAGCATAATTGAATAGATGAGTTCGTTAGCTACGCGAAGAAAAAAATGAAACTCAATTCCGAGTTCGGACGAGCCTAAACGAGGCTAAAACGTAAAGTGATGCAGTACAGTCCGGGTCGCGACCCGTGATCAGCCCCACGCCTAGCGCTCGCAGCAGCGCGAGAGTCGCGACCAGCGCTGCGATGAGCGAGAAAAAACAGAGGCTCCATCACTAACCCACGAATCCAACTCGTGCCCGCCAGTTCCAAACTCGCGACCTGTCCCGCGAGCGCGTGCCCCAGCGCCCGCGCGTGCCTGTCCCCAACGCCTGTTGACTCGCGAGTCAACTCGCGACTCGCGCCTGAGTCAGCCATGTTTTATGTTGCTCGTTTTTTCTCGTTTTAGCTCCGTTATTCGAGCTCTATATATCAAAATGACCCTCCCCCCAGACCTAAGGAATAATCTTCAATATTGTTTTTTTTACTTTCTCCTTCTGTAAAACTCGAATTTAGATCGTTCTTTTTGCTCAATTCTCTCTTTACTTTTCCGGATTTAGCTTTGTCATTGAATTTGAATATCGGATTTCTATTAATCGTAAGTTTCTCTTTTCATCTAATACATGAATATGATGGCTTTAATTGTTGAGATTGTTGATTTTGAATTTCATATGAGTAGCTAATTCGTTTTGCGAGGGATGGAGGATGATGATGATGTTTAGAATTTAATTGTGACTTTCATGTTTGTTGATCGTTCAATTTATGCAAGTTGTGCTTAACTAGGGTTTATAATTCTTGTGCATTGAATGTTGATTATTATCAAAGAGTGACACTTCGATTTGTAATTGATTTCCAATTAAATATGATTCGTTCTTGTGTGATGTGTTTAAATCCAACGAACTAGTAGATTAACAATCGTCTAGGATACTTAATCAACTCTTAGAACCGAAAGGGAAGGAGTTGATCGATTTAGGCTCGCATAAAATAGACTTGTTCAGAAACGTATTGTCTATGTGTTGCGTGATTTGTTTGATTTACCGTCTAAGTTACCATCTTGTTACGAAGAGTTATTGTGGACTAATTTCTAGATGATAGGTTGTCAATTTCCTTAACCGAATAATCTTAGCTTGATATTTGCATTGGTTAGGAAATCATCATCCCCGACTCCCTAGCTTCTTCATTCTTGTTTCATCTATATTTTTAGATAGATTTACGTTTTGTGTTATTTGTTTATTGATAGTTCAAACCAAATCAATCGTGATTAGAGTGTTTAGGACTTATTTTCTTTTCATGTGTGATCAATACCAACGCTAAATTCTGAACGTCTTCGTCGAGAGATCGACCCGAGAAACGAATCTCGTGATTCGGTACTCAGTAATAGAATAATATTTTTCCATGTTTGATCAATAGCAACGATAAATTCTGAACCGTCTTCCTCGAGATATAGACCCGGGAAACGAATCTTGTGATTCGGTACTCGGTAATAAAATAATTTGCTACAACAAGAATGATTGTTTGTTAATATTTAATTATATGGATAATATTCAGAAAAATTGGATTGGGTTGGATTTTGAGTTAGTAGATTGAAAACAAAATAACCCAATCGGTCAAACCGGTTAAAACCAATTTTGTCTCTTATCCAAACACGTCCTTATAGACTTTACGTAAATTTAATTAATAACTTATATATTTATTATTATTTTATTAAAATATATTAGATATTTTTTATTTATAAAGGTATATATATTCCTTTTATATATGGAATATCAAATCGACATTCTTCAGAAATAATTAATTTAATATATTATACATCATAAATAAAAAGCAACTAAAAAAATTATTAAGTTCTAACATATAATTATGATTTAAGTTGATGAAATATTTTATAATTTAGTAGTCCAAATAGACATGGATAAAAGTTCAAGAATTTTTTACTTACACCGTAAAGCATTTAGTTCAATTGATCAATTCTCCATGGCAGTTCAATGATGAATTTTCTGACTTACACCCTCAAAAAATTCAACAAAAACTAATTCAGAAAAATTGAGAAGCAAATTGGTTCAGATGTCAACAATTTTGAACCACGAGCTTTGTTCAGAAGAAAATTTGTTCAGCTCAAAGACATATGAATTAACCCAACAAAAAAAAACATATATAACAAGCTTGAATTGGTTCAATCGAAACAATATAATCACGAGTTAAAAGAAGAAAGATAACTTCAAAGTCTTGAAAACCACGATCCTGAGGTGCAACCCGTACGAGGGGATTTCGGAGGCGAACTCATTTGAGATTTGAGAAGACGAGGTCACCGTCGAGTGTCGGGCAGCCGAATAGATTGTGTGGCGTACGTAAGCGGTCGAGCGGTAGTAGGAGCGTTAGCGACGGATGGGCGGAGGTAGAGTTTTAGGTTTCTAGTGTCTGTGACTGAGAGAGTAAGTATGGGTTAATGGTCTATGGGAGATGTTGAGATGAAGATGAGAAGAGTGAGATTGCATTTGGGGTTGCTTCGTGTTCGTAGCAGACTAGACCTGCTGGTGGGTCCTGGGTGGGCAGTAGGTGGCCTTTGGCTTTGGTATTGGTATCATTAAATTCAGAGTAATGCTATTTAGCCCACTTGGTTGACAACTTGGGTTACAACCCAAGTGTAAATGCATTATCAAAAAATTAAAAAATAATGCATTTACACTTATGTTGTAACTCATGTTGTCATCCAAGTGGGTTCTATAGCATTACTCCATTAATTCATTATATTGGGCCTTTGTAACATATATGTATAATATTAAGAAAATATAAACCAAAAACTAAACTTATTCGGTTTCAATTTCGTTTGAAACAAAAAATTCAATTTCGATCTGATGGGTCTCCTCTCAGATCTGGAGTGAACCAATAAAAAAACTGTCTAGATCTGGAATGAACCGATGGGAATGAGCTCAGATCTGACTCGATAGCCTCCAAACCGTTGCTGAACCGTGAGAACACCTGCAAGAACTCAACGCCGGAGGGGTTTCCGGCGTAGAGCCTCCGATGCTCAAGTCAGTATGTGAAAGAGATGAAGAGAGCTGCTCTGAGAGAGCAGCAGCAGTAATAGAGAAGAATGTAGAATGAATGGGAGTTAGGGTTTTGGAGTTACCTCAGCTCCTTTATATAGAAGTAAAACATTTACCTGAAGTCCCCAAAATGCCCTGGCCGACTTACTGGAAATGTCCAAAATACCCTAGTCGGTTCATATTCTGTCCACCTCCTAGTCAGCATCTAGATTCTTCCTTATCCTTTAATAGCTTTTCTCAGATATGTTGAAGTGTATAGGAATCGTCAGGGATCTCTGAACTCCGAGACTACTTTAGTCGACTTCGAGATATCCTTGTATTCGAGCCGGCTGGGTCATTACCCAATCGCTAGTAGATCCTAATACACTTATTCATCCTTCTAGACGGAATCGACTTAGGCTAGTCGACATGGTAGAAGTCGACTAAGAAAAGCATCCGGACCTTCGACCGAATGTATTATCACGAGGAGATATGTGGGTGGAGTCGACTTCGGGTAAGTCGACTCGACAATGTCCGAGTTGGGACAACATGAACCACTCTATGATAGTATGGTTATATCATCTAGTCCCCCCCCCAAAAATTACTCGAAGCGACTCTGTGCTTACGAGTAGATTTTGTCGACTGAATGTCTTGAATCTTTTCATATACCATGTCGTCTGTCCTTGCTCTATGCCATGTTTACTCATTATTTCGATTCGTAAAGCGACTTGTTTACCCAATCAGATTTCGAATTGGTTGGATAAGTCTGAATCTTTTTAAATTTCAAAATTCAAAAATGGGGTCTTGAGCTTTGATAAGACGCTTTCTCTTTCCACCGCTTCGTATTCCGTGTGCCATCTCATCCGTTGAATCTGCCTTTAATCTGAGGGCTAGGGTTTCTTCCACTTCCCCTATAAGTATTCTCTCCCTTTTCTCTTCTTCACTTTTCGCACTCAATCTTTCTGAACTCTCCTTCTCCGGCAAACACAACATTCTCAAGCTTTCCGGCGCTCTTTTCTCATTCCGGCGTTCTACATCAACCACCATGAGTATGAGTAAGTTCTCTTTGCCTTTCGATTTACTGTTATGTGCGATTTTTTTTTCTTCTCTCTCTCTCTCTTTTTTTTTTGCTTTTCTGGGTGCTGTGCTTGGATTTTTTGCATGTTCATCAGATTTTCTGGGTATTTTTATACGAATTTCTGGCGATCATCCTGTTAGATCTTGGATCG